CGTCATAAGAATGTTCTACCTAACCGATGAACCTTCATTCATCTTAGTGTTTAAGAGGGCCTTCATGGATGTCTGTTTCGTAGCATGATTTTGCTCTCCAAATATCTTTGTTTCTCCCCAGTATACACGCAACTGTAAGTGGTCGGTCAAGTAATATAGTTTCTTTTAGAAATGAGTTATCGTTCTCAAGGTACTTATGATCAACTTATATTCAAATTGAATTCCACAATTAAAGAGAAAAGTAAATAGTATGCATGTTGATTGTTTTATGGTGAACTATGACTAATATGTACTAATTTAAAGTAAACAATAGTGAAAGACTTTGGTAATGTTTCAAGCAAGACTAAAAAAACTTCCAGGGCTGTAGCATATAGTGAATGTCATGCATCATATTATTGGATTTGAACTAACTTCAATTGTCAAATTACTACTTCATAGGGTTGGTAGTATGATCCGGGTTACACACCTCTCGTCGCCTACCCCAGTTAGCTATCTAACTACATCATTGATCGGGGATAAATAGACTAACCGGCGAGCATTTATATATCATGTTTTTTCGTAATCAAGCAAGGTGTTCGTCTTCCTAGCATCACTCCTGAACACTAATCTCCTCAATTTAGTGGGCGGACCGAGCTCTATATATTCCTTGGTCTATCTAATCTCTCCTATGTTCAATTCAAGATTAGACACTATATTTATCTCTAGATGAATCGTTAAGAAATGGAAAAACAAGAATATTAAAGTAATTTGAATTGACAATCAAAGATTAATTCATAAAACCTCAAATATTCAACAAGTTATTCATAGTTACAGCCAAGAACTAGGGGGTTTAGCTACACATGTTGTTAATAATCAAGAAAAGATAATTATTCATAAACAAATCTGTAAAATAGAAGATTTAAGAGGATTACAAACTTGATTATTGCCCTTGCACACTAAACAAATGTCTAACCATAATAATGGCAGTCCTACGATCTATTTATAATAGTGGATAAATTTAAGAACAAATCCTACTTAAATTAGAACTCCTACTAAATGTTTAAAACTTGAAAAGTTGGGATTGGGATGGGGCGGCGCGCCTCCATCGTGCCTAACAACATGTAGGAGTTAACACATCCTGGCGCTACGCACCTCAATCACGCCGCAACAAGGGCTCTGAGCAACAAGCCTTGGCACGACATTCCCTCCAGTGCGCCTCAAAAGAGGCTTTGAGTGACATGCCTTGGCGCGGCGCGCCTTAGACAACTTTTTACATCCATCTTCTTTTACTTTTCTCTTCATTCTATCTCCAATTTCTCCGAGAGTTCCTGAAATCACTAATCATGTATGTTAGTGTGAAATCAAAGCAAACAACCACAACATTAAGCTAATAAACTAAAGATCGTCCTTTAACACCACCAAACCATGGGCAAATATTGAATGCTTAGGCATATAAATATGTCTACGATCAATCTCTTAGAGATATTTGAGCATATCAAAAGCAGAAGTCGTAAATTGTTGTTGATGCTTCAAGACATTCACTATAGAGGCAAGAATGTAGCACTTTGTCATCTCATCGGCCTTAACCCACTTATTATAAGCCTTTACCTGAACATCCGGCGCTTTTTCAGGTTTTTCGATAAGCCAACTCTTCAACTAGCATGTTACGTATCACCTTCAGAAGTAAGTACAACATCCAAATTTTGTTTCCAATCCACATAATTCATGCCCTCTAACTTAAAGATGTTATTAATCTGAGATATGTTTCAAAAGATCATTAAACATACATTAAAATATAAACAAAATACATAAAAAATATATATTCATGCACATGGACAATTAGATTCGTTAGGAAAACTTAACTTTTCAAGAAAATATATGAGTCGTACTAGATATTACTGTTGATTATGTAGCAAGAGCTAATGGAAAATGGAGGGAAGATGAAAAGAGATGAACTTGGAAAGTTAGGAACTTGAAAAGTCTTCTTATACTTTAGTGAAAAGGCATTTCTTCCTCATCGGTGGTAAAAAGAAAAATAGTAGAGTTTAAATATAGAGACACTCCTACTAATTGTTAAAAGGGTTGGAAATAGGTACCCCTCTCGTGTTGTCGCCGTCGTCGCTCACTCGGCTCGGCTTCGGCTTAGGAAAATAATTGATAAAGAGATTATTTTTAGACAAAGTTTAATTTTCTTATTTATTTAATTAATTAAAATACATTAAATGTCCAAAAAGTTTCAATTACTTAGTTAATTAACTAACCCGACTCAGATCCGCACGCAGACCTTTTATTAAAATTCTTTTCCATTTGTTTGAATTTTACGCCTTTGAGAGTGTGTGTTTTGAAAGGTTGCAACTTTCAGGAACAAACATGACCTTTTGAAAGATTGCAACTTTCATGAATGGTGTGTGGATTCTGAAAGGGTTGCAACCTTTCATAATCAGTTGCTCTTGCCTATAAGTACATTGATTCTTTAGACTTTTTCACTATGAATTTTCTGATTTCTTCTTCTGCACAAAAGTTTCTGAAAGGGTTGAGTAGTTCGCTGACACCAGAATTTTGGGTATTAATACACTGGTGATTGACATCATTATATCCTATGAGGAAATATTTCAAATCAAACCTCCAATACTAGAGGGGAATAATTTCCTTACAGAGACAATGTACATTCAGTGGGTTTGATCTTTTTCGTTTTGTCTTTTTCAAGATTTTAGTATGTTTTACAGATTTTAGTTGTTATGGATTAATTTATATTCTTACTGATTTATTAAAATTTTGTTATTTCGTGTTTGTGTAATGTTTTTTCAAATTAGTAATTCTATTTAAAGCACAGATTGACAACAATTACAACATAAATTAGACAGAACTTACTCTGTTAGAGAGTAAACTGTTATTTTAATTAGGCAAATATCATTAATAAATTCATGTACTATGAACTAACATCTTACTCAATTAGAGAGTTAATAAAAGTAATAAAAACAGAGATTAAAAACACAATATTAATTATATGAATTATATCCCATGTGGAAGAAGACTTATGTCAACATGTAAACTCATATATATAGTGTTATTTTTCAATAAAAACCATGAGGAATGAATCTTAATATTACCAAAACTTTAAAAATAATTTTTTAAAATCTTCTGAAAATATAAAAACACCAAAAAAGCTATCTAAACAACCTCGAATGGTCAAATAAACACCTTTATCATTGCATAGCAATGTCTTGTTTATTGGGTCGTTTCCGATGAACCAACCAAATTATATCTAATATTGTGCTACAACCATAAAGATATTTGCTTAACTTCTTCAATTGTGAACTTATATTTATAATTTATAAGGACCGACAATTTCAATCTTCCCTGTATGAGCCAAGAAAATCCATGCACTAAATTGTCTACTATATAAGCAAAGGACACACATGTAGGTACAATAATTTATCTAACAGGAACGTTATAAAATTATATAAATAAAATAATCAGTCTTTACATAATGATAAAAAAACATTATTGGCTCCTATAATTATGGCCCCTAATTGGCCAAAATCATATGTGATTCTAGTGGGGTGGCACTATGTGTGTTTTTTGGTAAAAAAAAAAGTGAAGTCGTTCCACTTTCTATTATGCTAGCTAAATCTTTAATGAGGCACAAAAGAACTATACAGTGATGGAACAAAAGTTGTTGGTTGTGGTGTATGCTTTTGAAATTTTTTGGACCTGCTTTTGAAAGTACTTGTGCATACCAAACATGTTGAGATTTAGAGTAGATTGAATACAAAGAGGCTAAACAAAGTTATAAGGTGAATCTTGTTACTTCCAAAATTATATTTTGAGATGAATGATAAGAAGAGTTGTGAGAACTAAGTGCTAGACAATTTGTCTCACTTTGAATTGAATGGTAAGAATTCCGAGGAGATGGATGTTGATGAGCCACTCCATGATGATTGTAGTATGACTTTCTTATGGAATGATGTGCCTTGGTATGGTGATTTCACCAATTATCTTATTTGTGGCAGTTGTTCCGAAGATCTAATTACTTATCAATAAAAGTGGTTTCACTATGATGTGAAAAGATACTATTGGGATGAACCTTATCTCTTTAGGGAGTGTGATTATCATATGATTCGTCATGTCTCAGAATTTGATGTAAGACCCATTTTTGAAGCATGTCCTTAATTTTTTGTTGAACGGCATTATAATACAATGAAGACAAACTCCAATATTTTATAAAGTGGTTATTATTGACCAACACTAAGCCGAGATGCTGATAAATTTGTTAAGTCATATGACAAGTGTCAAAGACAAGGTGGGGTGTCAAGGCGACATGAAATACCTCTAAAGCCTATTTGGAGGCTGAAATATTTGATGTTTGGGACATCAATTTTATTGTGCCTTTTGTGAGTTCTCATTAAAAAAAAATTTACATACTAGTGTTGTGGACCCTTCCGATGGATGGAAGTTGTAGCATATCCAAACAATGAACTTCAGAGTGTGGTAAACTTCTTGAAAAATCATTATTCAAAAGGTTTGGGACGCCAAAATACCCTTCAAGTATAGGAAGTGGAACAAAAATACTCTCCTTCCATCTTTAGGCTCCAAAATATCCTTCCATCTACCTATATGGGCTTATATTACCCTTCCACTTAACAGATTCTTTAAGAATAATAATCCATCCTTTCATTAATGACGTGGCTGTGTTTAATTGGCTGAATTTATATTGATATGACTGTTTAAAATCCTTTATTAATATGAGTTGCTAGGACAAATCCCTTGCTAACTCCAATCGCCTGAAACTGAAAATAAAGATAAGGGTACTTGTCCTCAAAGTGATGGAGACGAATCACCAATACTGTTACTCACTTATCTGAGATAGCGATAACCACGAGTTGAATACTAACATCAGAACATGTATTATTAAACAATTCAGACAAAGAGTGTGTTGTTAGTACTTTTTTGTAACCCTATAGGTGTGAATTGAGGAAATGAGATTGTTACGTTTAATGATCAAAATTATTATCATCCTATCAATTATTGCCTCCAGCAATATAGAATGGCACAATACTTGGTGTGGAGCCATCGATAGCATCATCAACAACAACAAGAAGAAAATCCAAATTGTCAGTCTGTATAATCACATCAGTGACGTCATCCTTCTTCAGAATATGTTGATGCTTTTCCTGAGCATTAAGCCAGGAACGAAGAGTGAGTTCTTGAATGAACAACTCACATGTCTTAGCTAGCAAAACGGGTGATTCAGCAGCAATCATCTGGTCATCCTCATCCGTCTTCATGAGCTTTTTGATAAGGTTAGGCGGGAGTAGATGATTGTTCTTGAACTCGTTATCGTTCTCTATTTCTCTCCGCTGATTTGTCCAAAACATCTCCAGTTGTTCTTGTTTATTCTTCACAATATTAAGTTGTGCCAACGTTGGGTGCGTAGAGGATTGAGTTGCATTCACTACGAGTTTATCAAAATTATTTTTCATGGTGATTTTCTCTTTATTCACAAGCTCAGACACACACAAAATGGAAGATTGATACATATATTGGTATACACAGTGGGTATTTTATATATAGAGAGAGAAAAATAAATCTCATTATAAATTTTTTAAATCATATTAAATGAATGAACCTATACACTTCTAAATCTACATTCAAGCTTATTAATGGAATTATTTGTTATACTTTATTCACATATAACAATTGATTGTAAGTTAATCTTCTTATTAAATACTAGTTAGTTTTAGCCAATAAGGTATTAATTAAAGAATGAACCTGAACATTAACTAAAATAATTATTTTTGAGTTATCTTATAATATATTTTTTCTATAATCCTCCGTAAATTGCAAAAACAACAATAATGAATAGAAAGAAATAAAAAGATTAATATAAATGGGCTTTTAATTCGGTATACAATGCGTCAAATTTGATGTCTGATAAATTATGAACCATACTTTGATAAAATCAGTATGAATCTTATAAAATAATTTGTGAAGTTTAGAATCTTTATGAACTAAAAATTATTTTATAAGCTCAGGGCTTATTATATCACATTGTACTCGCACAATCATTGTCATTGTCGCGATTTTTGTGCTACCAGGTCATTTGTGTATCCTGATGTTCATTTGTTCTTTAAAAACAATTGTCACTATTTCATAGAAGCAACATCACTCCACACTCATATAGGTCCAATCATCAAATCAATATAAACGACATGAATTAGATTAAGTGTTTAACTTAACCTCACTTTGTGGTTCGACACTATATTCACATTCCATAGGAGGGAATTCATGGTTTAATAATGAATATATAATGAACTAATGATCACTTGCTATTACATATATGAACCTAGTTCATTCGATCTCCAATCACATATATAGATTGGAATGTTATCATTGTTAATCTTCTCAAATTACAAAAAAAAATTACACTTAGCTCCTTGATGTTTCTTTAGTCTTTGAATGTATCTGAAATTTTGATTTAAGTTCAACACTTTAAGCACGCTAATGAATATAGAAAATATTTGTTACTGTAGTATTTAATATTGATGACATGTTTCTTGTTTTCTTTACGAGAACATTTAGGCTTACAAATCAGATTTTGCATTATTTTTACTTTGTTTTATTTTACAAAAGAGAATACAATTAGTTGAACTAATTTGCCTTTTCAATTTACCTCGTTGTGTTCTATATAGACAAGGAGAAAAACTAATACAAATTTCCTAACCTAATGAAGGTGTGCATATTGATGCTTGAGGTACAAATCAACAAATAAAATATGAGAAAATTATAATCCCTAAATAAATTAGACGCAATATTACAAAATCTATGATACTTTTTTTTTATCTTTAGCAAATATAATTTTATATCACAAAATATAGCAGATTGAAATATATTAGAAAATGAAGCTTTTTCTAGATGATTTTATTTATGGGCTAAATTTGGTTCCAACAGTTTTCCTGATATTTCATTAGTATCAATATTTTCATTTAAATATTCGATTGATCAATTCTTTATCAAAACTTTAATTTTTCATCAAAAAAAAATTTCTTGTTCCTCTCTTTCCATATATAGTAGTGTATATGTTTTTGGTCAATACTAGTTTATAGACTTCAAAAATTGTGCTTCTTTCTTCACTTGGCATGTCTTGAGAAGATGCAAAGAAAAAATAAATTATAATCACAATTTTTTGTCTTGCACTTAACACATAAACGTTAAACATTGCCAATATATATCATCATTGTCTAACCAACCCATTCTTAGCATTGAAGATTTTCTTCTTGATTTTTGGGTGAATTAGGTATGAATACTAATATTCAGATTATCATCTACTAATTTTTTTTTCTATTTTTAGAATATCAAATTGAAAATCCTACTTATTTAGGTGCCTACCATTTATGAAATTTTTCATTTTTCTCCTTTTTCCAAGAATGAAGTTCTTAGTTTTTGCTTTCTTCAAGATTTTCAACTAACCAGTAACAATGAAGCTATTGGTGCTATGTTTTAATAATTGATGTATGATTATAAACATGTTCTGTTACTGCTGAACAAATAGTTGGGATGTATACCTGAACAATAATTTTTCTTGCTAAATTTTTTCTTATATTTTCTTTGGTCTTTTAAATCTTATCCCGAGAAATGTTTTGAATTTCATATAATAATTGTAATTCCTTGTGTAGATAGAAATCCAATCATATTGACTTCAACGTTATATTAAATCTATTTCCAGTTTTAATTAATTTTAACTTTTTTACTAAAAGAACACACAAGTGAATGTAAGGAAAAAAATGTGATGTTGAACATTTTGTTTCTTGATTTTTCTATAAAGGTGCAAATTCTATCTATTAGTTAACTTCCTTTTCTATTTTTGCTAGACGAGATTTTGTGTCGTGAACTTGAGGAATTCAGTCCAAACAAAACAGTTCGGTCAAATAAGAGTCAAATTGTAAGGGATCATTTTATAACTGGTTAGAGTTATGTAGATATCAGCAGGGGACTTAATTATCTACAAAAAGAAAAACTTAGTTGAGATAGAAAATTAAAATATAAACGCACAAACTAAATTTGATATATTTACATAAAATTCATAATACTGAGATAGACTAATATCGGAAAGAAATAACATAAGCAAAAACCAATATAACATTGATTAATGGGGACGAAACTTTAATAGTTTGTGATTAATTTAATAATTTTATCTTTAATTTATAAACGTTTTTGAGTTAATCTTTTTTTACGTCAAATTCTCACAAACATAGCAAAGTATAAGTTGCATACGGGAAATCATTTTATTCAAAAAGAATTAATAAGGACAGAAAATTATAACCAAAAAAGTCGTGTTGAAGTGATGAGAGAGAAAAGTGGCAGAGAAAATGAGTTTCACATTAAGAGCTTGTTTTGTATTACTGTTAAAAAATATTTTATTTCAGAAAGACTTTTTTAAAAATTGACAAATTCATTTGAAAAGTTTTTTTGATAAGTAATTTTTGTTTGGTTAATTTTCTTTACAAAATGCTTTTGAGAGTCAGATTACGAAAAAGACAAGTATTTATGTACTTTTAATATTAAGATTATATTCTAATATTTTTAAACATCTAGTATAGGAACTTTAATTACATTTTTAATTTAATTATTTGAAATGTACATATTCAAATTTTCAATCAATATTGTACATATTGTTAATTTTTTTTAAAAGAAGAATCTTTTTGTTGTTTATTACCTATTTCTTGGATTCAATCTTAGCTATTATCCTTTTTTTTTACGGAGAAGGGTCATATTTATCCCTATACTCTTAGAAAAGGGTCATATTTGCCCTTCGTCATACCTTTTTGATAAATTTACCCTTGTCATCCAACTTTAAAGTCATATTTACCCTTTATCCGTTAAATCTCCATGTTTTCGCATAAAATTATTTTTATGTTGGCCTATGTGGATTTTATTTTTTATATAATCAAATCTAAATATTATTAAAAAATCATTTAACTTGCTTCATACATTAAACCCAATCCACTAATCAAAATAAATCCAACTTGATCTTCTGTAAATTTCTTTATGCGCATCTCTATAGAAACAAATGTAAAATGACTATGTAGAATCTCCTTTTTCACATTAAACAACAATCAGCTTTAGAACTAATATAGATTTTAGCATTCAATTTGATATTTTTGTTAAGTAAATAAAAGCCAAGTTTTATCGCTAATTTTGACAAATAAAATTGATTAATCTACATTTGATTAAAAAAAATAAGTAAAATTTTAAAAAAATCTGACATGTGTTCTGTCTTCTCGATTATTTCAGAGGTGAAAAATGTGAAGTGAGTTTCAAAGAAGATGAGTGATTTAAGTTGGTTTTTGGTAACTATCAATGGTGAAAACTTTGATGGTTCAGTATAGTATTTTGATTTTTCGATTACAATTACATTAAACCATATGTCCCATATAAATATAAAGCCCAAACCCACGATAGTTAAAGCCTTGTTCCTGGTCCATTAGTGAATGGGGTTTAATTCAAGGGAAAATTAAGTGGAATGGCAAATATCTCTAAGTTTTTAGTCAATAAGGGTATAGTTTAATTTATTTACTCTCAATAACTATAGTTTCATTTTTTTGTCATAATTAAAGGGACCCACCATCTCTTTGCATACCCAACCATAAAAAAAAGTTATCTTTTTATATATAATTTTATCAAATCAATTTTATCTCTCCTACACTTATTCTATATTTTTTTCCTAAAATCACTCCTCCACTCCTATTTTGAATTCTGAAAAATTTCACGATATCCTTGTTGTCTTACTTTCATTAATCCAATTTTTTTTTAACTTTTTACCTTCATCAACATAATTATATATGTATTATTTTTCTTAATTTTTTCATATTTTTTTAAAAAAATTCTTTCTTTCTTATCAGTTTAAAGTTCTTCAAAATGAGAATAAAGGATTCATCTCCATATATGAGGATTACCAGAGGTATGTCATTGCATGTCAATATTGTTGATAATCCACCTTCGTTTTCAATTGAGTTATTTCAGGATTTTGGGGTTAATGTAGGGTATATGATAAAACATAAACAAGTTCAAGTTGAACAATATCTTGAATAGAGATTCAAGAAAAAAATGACCCAATGACAATTCAGAAAGTCATCAACAACGCGAAATCTAGTGGCATTAAGATAGTTGAAGGTTGAAGCAAGAGAAAAGTCAAACATAAATTCAGACGAGATCGAATCTATCTTATCAAAACTGGACAGAACTAGACAAATCTGAAGAACATCAGGTTGTGTAATTTATATACAAATTACTAAAGTTATATAAATAGTAGATTGTGTATTAAGGTAATATATACAAAGTATTATGAGATAATTGTTATTTGCATACAAATATTTGTATAAAAGAAATTTGTTAATCATTGTATAATACATATATAAAATTATAGTATATTATACAAATTCGTTGATATATACAAAAAATTATGAACATGATAAAATATTGT